ACAGTGGAATCAGATTAATATATATATTATTGATAATATATATGCATGATGCAATGACTGACATCAAATTTTGTGTAAAGGAATTACATGAAGAAGGAGAAGTGCACACTGTTGGTTGCATTTGATTGGTATCAGTGCAGGATGAGTCATCAATATATTTGGTCTGTTAAAATGTACAGCTTTCTAGCTTAAAGCAACAGAAATCAACTAATTTAATTGTTTAAATGTCCCCGTAAGCCATTGATTGAGCAAACAGATTCACGCCATTGGTCGAGCCATTGTTGTCGTGTAGAACTATACTTGTTGCTTGTTGAATTTCCATATTGCCACAGAGACACAGAGATTACAGTTTTCGATAAAATTACCCTAAGAATGTTTCTGCATATTAAGCTGGCATATGAGAAAGTAGCACCAAGAACATTACATTTTAACACTAAAAACACACCCAGCTAACAAAAATATGTTCCCGTTAAGTTCTGGAAACTTTATTTCTGATCAAATGTCCAGATTTTTAAATGTTTAAAAACTTTTCCCCCCTCTCAGTTATCTGAACATTAGAGAGAACATTAAGGGAACGTTACATTTGATCATTTTGCAAACATTATGGTAAAATTACTTTTGAATGTTCTCTGAACTACCTGAAAAACGTGAGCATGCAATAATGTTTTTGTGTTCATGTTTTGAGCATGCTGAAACCAGATTACTTCTGATATTCTGATAATGTTACTGGAAGAATGTTTGTTAAGAACTTTGAGAGAACCTTGCCAAAGTTATGAGAACATTCCCTATTACCTGGGTACCTATTTACACGTTACATTTATTACATTTATACACTTATTGACAAACAGTTGCAAGAGTTTCTCACACATTTAGAAGACAGAAAACAAAAATAGCGCTGGATGAAGAAATATTTAGCCTGCCTAATATCTTCTATTGTGATCAGCGATCAAGCAGCTCTTTATTGCGCGCGTGCAGCGTGTGGACGAGCACTGCACTGGAGGTAAAGACTATTTATATCCATATCCGAAACAGTATCAAGAAAGAGTATTAATCTATGGGGACACTTTTTTGATGGGGGCCAGTGCCGATGAAAGGCTTGAAACTCTCTTGGATATAGGCACAATCGTCGTGAAAGTTCAGCTCATTTCTGTAACCCCATTTCAGGCACTCAGCTTTATTGCATCGTGTATTCAGTGCGTGCTCGAATTAATAAAACAACGCCACTTTATGCATGACAGACCAAACATTCTCCACAGTCTCTGAGCGCCGCGTGAAACAAACGCGACACGGGTTTCACAGCGTTTCCTAGAAACAAAACTGAGCTCAGGCTGTCTCGTTTCCATTGGTAACACGGTTTACACATTCATTATGATTCTTGACATGTTCGCTTTTATTTAGGCTAGTTCACATATGTTCAGATAATTAGTTCCTCTCAACGGAGGCGCCTTTATACAGCCAGAGGAAGTTTATTGTATGTAGGTGTTGCGGCTGCCTTTATAATGAGCCCTCATTAACAAGCATATGAAATAAAATCATAAATTCATAGACAATTCTGCTGGCGTGTGTGACACTTGAAGGGGTGTTATGAAACTGCAAGGCAGCAACACACGTGCTTTGTCCTGTTTTTCCACTGCAATCGTGAGGAAATGGAGCGCTTTGAACTCATTTGATGAGAATATACTTTTTACTTTGATTTCAATAAAATAATATGATAAAATGGGTAAAAACTATTTTCCATCCAAATTACGTTGTCTCTTTTCAGAAGAACAATAGCTGGCATTGTGAAAACTACAGTATATGTCCTCGTGTTGTCCTGCATGCACACACACATACACACAAAACTTTGCCATAGCCTACTGTATCTTCATACCAATACTGTTTTGGTATTTTGTGGTGATATTTACATGTAAAGACTATTTTAAAGATTTAATACATTGATATGTTTAAAGAGGACAACATACATGTAATATCAAAAACAAGTAACGTCACATACACATTTACACTGACATCAAAAACTAGAATTGTGTTTCCAACAAAAAAAAGAACAGCTCAGATAAACCATTTCCAATGACTTTACAATACTTTTTCTTTTGAGGTAGAAAATGTGACATTTGTGGACATAAGGAGAAAAGGAGAAAATAGACCTGTCATATTTATTTGCCTCTATGTGAGTGGATAAAATGATTTAGCTGCAGAAGAAATTTATTATATTATTCATCAAGGACACATTAAATCTATCAAAAGTAAAAGATTTCTCTTTCAAATAAATGCTGGTCTTTTGAATTTTCAAATACATATTAAATAGAAAACAGTTGTTTTAAATTGACAAAATTTATCAAATTAATGCAGACTTGGTGAGCAAAAGAGACTTTGAAGTAGCCCTATTTTACAGAAAACAAATGGCTGTAAATGCTACTGCAAGGTATTGAATCACTGCCGTGTAAAAATGTTGTGTATAGGCCTACTTCATATCTCTTTCACCACACAGAAATATGCCAAGGAAAATGTGTCTCATCACAGATCCATTTCAAACCACGAACTGTTAATGAGCAATTCTGTAAGACCCTTCATGACTTATTTTCACCTGCATGCCTATTATAGACACAAAAATTAGTTGAGCATGAGTCAGTGCCGTTTCAATGCACAGCCACGGTAACCGGCAGCAGCTCGCGGGAGGACTGAGACTGCTGTGCTCCGTCAGGGACCAGACGGAGACTGACACTCCCGTCGGCCGGATCAACCCGGAAATCTTTGTGCGCTGGACGGATGGCTACGATGAATTGTCTTTTGAAAGTTTCGCTCAGCATGATGTAGAGCAGTGGGTTGATGCAGCTGTTGGCGTATCCCATGCTAATGGCGACATTATAGGCATACAGGAAGGCGTAACTGGGCCGCTGCACACTCAGATGTGCTAACTGCAAGATGTAATGAGGCGCCCAGCAAATGAAGAACGCCAGGCATATGGCGACGGCCATCCGAGTGACCTTTCTAGTGCGCACGCGAAGGCTGTGCTGGGGAAGTGGAGCCACCGTGGCGGCCATGTTCTGGAGAATCTTGAAAAACACCACGCAAATGATCACCAATGGCAAAGCGAACGCCAACACAAACTGGTAGAGAGTAAACCAGTACATATCTGTAGCCGGATTGGGAAGGAGCAGAGCACATCCCACCGATCCATCCCGTAGGGGCATGAGGCCAGCGTACATCCACACCGGTGTGATGGACAGCAGCGAGAGGATCCACACCAGGCCCACGACTGCCACAGCCACGCATGGAGTGCGTATGTGGTTGAAGCGGATGGGATGAACCGTCGCCAAGTATCGATCCAAAGTCATGACCGTTAAAATGTAGGTGCTCACGATCTGACTGTTGGAGTCCAGCGCCGTGATAACAGTGCACATGGTGGCACCGAAACACCACGAACCGTTTCCAACCAGCTGGTGGATGAGGAACGGCATGCCTAGGAGAAACAGAAGATCTGCGATAGATAGGCTGAAGATGAAGATGTCAGGCACCGTCTGCTGCGCTCTGAATTTATTTTTTTTGACGATGGTGTAGATGACGATGCAGTTGCCTATTATACCGACGAAGCAGATGACTCCATAAATGCTTGGCATGAGAACATTGTGATACTGTTCGTCAGTGTCTGCAAGAAAAAAAGAGTTTTTTTTAGTTTACCATTAAAAAAAAACATTTTCATTTTCATTCTTTTTTAAATTTAATTTTAAAAAAGTTCAACAAGTTTAGAGTTCAAACAAGCTTTTTGAGAATATATATATATATATATATATATATATATATATATATATATATATACACTATTGGTCAAACGTTTAGGGTCAGTGAGATTTTTTTTCTAAAGAAATAAATAGTTTTATAACATTTATAATATTACGAAAGATTTCCATTTCAAATAAATACTGATCTTTTGAACTTTGTGTTCATCAAACAAATATCACAGTTAAAAATATATCACATTTTACACACAAATATTGAGCAGCAAACTGTTTTTAACATTGGTAATAATAAGAAATTATAAGAAATAATAAGAATTAGAATATTAGAATAATTTCTGAAGGATCATGTGACACTGAAGACTGGAGTAATGATGCTGAAAATCCAGCTTTACCATCAAAGGAATAAATTACACTTTAAATAAGTCTATATTCAAATAGAAAACAGTTATTTGAAAATATAATAATATTTCACAATAATACTGTTTTTACTGTACTCTTTATCAAATAAATGCAACCTTGGTGAGTGTAAAATACTTCTTTCAAAAACATTGAAAAAATCTTACAATCCAAACTTTTGAACAGTAGTGTAAATATTTAATCACTAAATTATGTATTTGACAGTTGTCCCTGGTTATATATTTTTTTTTATACATAACCATGGATAAAAAAGAAAACCATATGTCTTGTGTGCTGTGGTCTCATTATTTTCACATAATAAACTAATTTTAACAAATTGCTAGGCATTATGTGGTAAGTAATAAGTAGGATATTATCACACAATAAACCCTGTCAAAATGATTCAGGTCGTCTCAGACTCAGGGTCCTGATCATCCTGCCGGGGTTTATTTAACATGACTGAACATTATCGTGAGTCAAGAGCTAGACACAAGCAGAGAACCTCAAATTAATCTTATTAAGAAAATGTAAGTAAGAGAGCTACTTGCCCCTAAAAATGACTTTTGTTGGTCTAACCTTATTAGTCACATAAATTATATGTTTGACTTTAATAAAATGTATTAATTTGCATGACACACATTCAGGTTGCCAGACAAAAATATTATATATTTACCTGCATTTAAATGTTGAGATGAGTTAAACTCATCACTGGAATTCTCAGCGGGGGTCACGGTGAAATCCATCACAAACTTGACCATAAACACAATACACACGTTATTAATAACAGGCTTCTATCTGTCATTCGAAGATATGATTATGTTTCAAACCATTATAAGTGACATATTGAGGGAAAATGCTTACTGTGAAGTAATTTAAAAATAGTTGTTACAATATCTGACTACATAAGCTAATTCAAAACAATGTTGCATATTTAAAGGTATATTCAACACTTACTGAGATCTTTGTAAGTCAAATCTGGACATTGAAAAAAGACTAGTTATCTTATGGATTTGTCCAAAGCTTTTAGGCTTTTCAGGATTATAATTGGAGTTTGTTTTTGGATCATGCTTACTGTTGCCTGCTGTCTGTTTGTTTTACTGACAGCAGTGTTTTGGCATCTTCATTTTTAGATTTTCCCTAGATTTTCAAACTGGGGACTCCCAGGGGGCCACAAGGGGGTGCTGTGTGTCCACAGAAAAAAAATAGCCTGAAACCTAAAAACTGATAAAACATTGTTTTTGCTTATATACATGCCTTTTGATATCTATTTGTCTTTTTGAATAACTTAGACCTGGCGTCCCCTACAGAGGACATAGAATAAAATATGAATAAAATCACATAAGACTATAAAATATATTTTTTTCAAAAATGCTTTTTCTCCATTTGTTTCTTATGCTCCAACCAATGTAATGACAAAAAATAAATAAAAAAAATGAATTCACAAAACTTTTTTTCTGGTTCTCAGGAGGATATGCATCATGTAGAATACAAGCTCCACAACAATGCAGTGGCTAATGACAAGTAGACTGTAGACACATTAAATAATACACTGTACCATTTGATTCTGACATTGTGTATGAATTAGTGTATATATGGATATGATTCAGTTTCAAGCGATGTTCTGAGCTTCAACAATCAAGACAGTTTGTCAAACACTCTGGAAGTTGTTTATTTCCAGTAATATTAAGACACTCTTGATGTTTGGACAGAAGATGGCGCTATGCTGCAACCTATTGAGCATCATTGGAATCAGTGATAAATTGTGTAATGACACAACTCGTCCACTAGGGGCAGGCGGAAGCTGACCTCGCGGACGGCGCTGAATCAAAGAGGAAACGGAAACAAACAGAAAATACAGCAATTTTTCACCATTTCAAGTCGGGCTAGGTACAAGAGCTCAACCTCATCAACGATTAAAGACCAGTTAGAGTGGATTCTGAGGTCTTGAAAACGAGAGCGCGAGTGTTGGCCCTCACAGCCACACACACACACACACACACACACACACACACACATATATATATATATGGTTATATGTGGCCATTTATATGTATTCATTTAGCAGATATCTTTGTCTAAAGGAATTTTTCATAAAGCAGTTTATAGCGATCAGCATTTGAAATTAAGCATCATGAACAAAAAGCAGTTTGTTGATTTCAACGACTAGTTCTTGTTTATTTCAAGATATTTCTCACTTCTAATATGTTGTACTCGCCTTCATGTCGTTCCAAGCCTGTATGATTTTTTTTTTTCTGGAAACACTGAAACATTTTTCTAAATATCTTTCGTTTTCTGCAGAAGAAATATGGTTTTGGAATGACATGAGAGCAAGTAAATCATGACACAGTTAAAATTGAGGTGAACTGTCTTTTTAATTTTACGTTATTGTGTTTTGAAATGCGTCTGGAAGATTACGTTAGCGCACATTGACAAACCTTCTTAATTTTTGCTGATCACTGGTCACAATAATGCAGCTTTGTCTTCAAAAACTCGGTTTGCTGAACCTTGTCAACAAACGGTAAGAAATATCATGTTGTCGTTTCATAAAGGAGTTTATAGCGTTCGGCATTTAAGATCGAAACGCATTTGTAGGTATGAGTGAAGAAATCATAAACAAAAAGCCATTTGTTGATTTCATGGGCAATTTCCTTTTCATTTCAAGATATTTTTGTCATGATTTCCTCACTTCTAATATCTGTTTTGTGATATCTCTGCAGTTTCTTCCATCCAAACAGCAGCTTCTGAGAATGACTGTTTACGCAAGCACCTAATTTCTCTTTCCTCTTGCATCTGAATGCTAATCTCAAGCACAGCATCTGTTAATCTGGCCAGACCTCACAGCTGTATGTGGCTGTCCATCTTATGTAACGCTGCAATCTTTCCTTCTCTCCCTAAGGAGAGTTCAAGCTGTCCCTCTTTAAACTGGATTGCAACATATCAGCTGTGAGGAGGAACGGGCTTGTACTCAAGTGCTCGAAGATTTAAATGCAATCATTCTAATCTCTCAGGTTGAATTTGGGGGCATCTGTCATGCATCATGCGTGCATAAGCCTGTCATAAGCATGTCAACAGCATCATTCCTTTGATTTGATTAGTGGCCGAGATTATCATCAGTTCTTTGTCTTTGCAATGGGACAGCAGAGCCACTAAATTAACCTCGTCCTGAATTAATGTGGAGGAAAACCGGAAAGATTATGGCGTTGGTCTGGTCCTCAATGGGATCTCCCCCCCCCCCCCCCTGACTTCAGATTATAGTGATGGATGGATAATGCGTGTAGAACAGAAGTGTAGTTATGAATAATGCAACAAGCAATCATATGTTCTCGTGTGTTTTATATTGCAAATGCCTGACTTTTAGTCTCTTATGCCTTCACCCAATAAGCTACTTCACCCAAAAATTAACATTGCGTCTTTGTGTACTCACCCGTATGTCATTCCAAACCTGTATTTTCTTCTGTGGAATGCAAAAGAAGATATTTTGAAGAATGTTTCTGTTGTTTCTGTCCATGCAATGAACGTCAATGGGCCCAACATTGTCAGTGTAACTTTAAACACTTTTTCAAAACTTTTTTTTTCTCTCGCAAAAGAACAGGGTTTCTGCAGGTTTTATGAAGAGGTAGGGTTTTATTTGTCGTTTTTAAGACAAGTATAGAAATTTAAGGAAATAACTGAATGGAACACGGTACATTAGTATCTAAATGTCTTGTAATATCAGTGCTTTAAAATAGGGATGCACCGATATGAAAATTTTGCCCAACAGGGTTTCTGCAGGTTTTATGAAGAGGTAGGGTTTTATTTGTCATTTTTAAGACAAGTAGAGAAATTTAAGGAAATAACTGAATGGAACACGGTACATTAGTATCTAAATGTCTTGTAATATCAGTGCTTTAAAATAGGGATGCACCGATATGAAAATTTTGCCCGATACCGATAATTCTTTATTTTTGAAAGCCGATAACCGATATGTTGGCCGATAAATCTATATCCAAATTGTTATATACTTT